GTTGTTTTATTTAAAACACGTGCGCCTGTATGTTTGTCTGTTTATCGTTACCTAATTGTGAGCCTTTTTTGGTGGGGAGGGGAAGGGGGGGAAAGACGAACCGCAAAGGAGTGAAGCTGCTGCCAGGGCAAGAGTGTACCAGACGTAGAACTGACCGAAAGGCGTCCGTGAAGACGGCGACCTCGGGATGACGTAGTGAAGCTGAAGTCGGAAAGGGGGAGGGGGGGATGTTTCTTCGCTGCTGCGAAGTGTCGAATGTGTTTCACTCAGCCCTTCGTACTGTCACTCCCCTCCTCCACCCTCCACTCCCCTCTTGAATGGCTGGGTTTGCTGTCGTACATCAGTTATGGCGGGCGATGTGTCGTTCCGCCGCCGCCGCCTTCGCCTCTGCTCTGCCCCGGGGGGTGGAGGTGTTGCGGCAGGTGCGGGCCCCCCCGCACAGCTGTTTCCAGTTCTTCGGACTCGACTTCCTCATCGATCAGGACGTCAGGTACTTGCTGGCTGCAGGAGGGGCGGGTAGCAGGTAGTGGGGGGGTATGTGTACGCGTGTGTGTGTGTGTGAGACGGTTTGTGTCCTTTTATTATGTATGCATGTATGTATGTATGTAACGCGCCACCCGGGGCCCCTCGCAGGCCCTGGCTACTGGAGGTCAATGCCACCCCCTCAATGAAGGTACGACATGATGTACAGACGAAACCATGCAAGTGGTTAACCTCCCGTTACACGTCCGTACATATGAACCTGGCTGAAACTAAGTCCCCCGAGGAAAAACCCTCTACCGTGAAATTCACTGAAGGAGTCGTACACACTTCTTCCACCCCCGTTCCACGGTTTTCCCCTTTCCTCTGGCCAGGTGGAGCACTGCGACCCGCGGGTCGCTGAGCTGATCTTTCGTCAGAAGTGGGCTGCCGTACGGGATATGGTGGGGCTGCTGGGCCTGTGTCCAGCGCGGTTCGAGGAGGGTTCCCCGGGTGCGAGGGGGGCGAGGGGGGGACGTACACGTATAAGGCTGAATAGTGCGGGAAGGAGCTGTCTGGCTATGAGCTGCTGTTGCGGGTGCGGTGCGAGAGGGGGGCTTCCAAGCAATTCCCCGCCAAGTCGCCGCCACGTGGCGTTCGCAGGATGCACACCTGCCTCCGCCTCCCGCCACTACCACCACCACTACCACCACCACTACCACCACAACTACCACCACCACTTACAACCACTTACAACCAGTACCACCACTACTTACCACCACTACCACCACCCGCAAATAACCCCCCCTTCCCCCTCCTCCCCCCTTCAGTTGGCCCCTCCCTGGACCGCTCCACCCCCGCCTACGCCCTCCAAGAGCTACGCCGCCGGGGGGGCTTCCTGCCCCTCATGCACCTGCTGCCCCACCCGGACACGTCCACGACGGCGGCGGCGGCGGCGGCGGCGGGGCTCAAGAGGCCGCTGCCGTGGACCCCAGCGGACAGGGCGCTACGGAGGTGGTGTACGGCGTGTCGGGAATATCAACAGTCTGCGGCGGAGGTGCCTTGCTGGGGAGGGGCCACCGACGGGGGCGGGGAGCGCGAGGGGAAAGGAGGTGTGGGAGGGGCGGGGAGTGGAGAGGGGTGACTGAGAGGGGTGGGGTGGGGTGGGAAGGAGGGTTTCGAGTGCAGGTGCGGAGGCGGCGGTGTATGCGGAGGAACTGTACTCCTCCTGGCTGTGGGCCACACTATGACATCTGCTGGCGGGCGGGCGGGCTGGCATGGCCTGCTGCCCCTCCTTACTAGTGGCTAGTAGGTCTACCTGCGGCTGAAGGCCTAGCTACAGCCGTGCCGGTGGTTGGGCCTTCCTATGGGCCCCCGACCCGTGCGTGCCTGACAGCGCTCAATACCACGGGTTTGCTTTAGTCAATGTGATATACAGCTCCTGTGCATGTCTGTATGTCTGTATCTTTGCATGAAGATGCGGAGACTCCTCGGGATTTGGGGGGGACAGCGTGCCGCCGTGTGCCGGAGAGGAAGGGGAAGGCGGAATGCATCTTGCTGCTGACTATTGACAGGCAGACAGACGGACAGATGGACAGACGGACAGATGGACAGACAGACGGGCAGACAGAGTGCCTACTGTGTGCATTTCCTGGCTAGGGGGTTACGGCACCCGCCGGCAGTGGTGATAGTGGAGGCAGTGGTGGTGGGGAGTCGCCGTACGGTAGTTGGGTCGGGTCGGGCGGTGGCGGGAGTAATGCGACATGGGTGGTTAGTGGAGGGGCGCCTGGGTGCGGGTGCGGGTGCGGGTGCAGGGGAGGCGTGTATGGAATGAACGATATGGTGTTCTCCGGACTTGCAGGCCCACATCCCCCATTTCGACTACCATTTGCCAACCCCGGAAGGCTGAGGCCCCCTGGACTCGACATAGTGATAATCAGGAAACTGTACATACATACGCGAGCTGACCAGGAACTAAGTTGAGGCGCCGTTGATCCGCTAGATTTGGTTGGATGCTGGTGGTGAGTTGCTGAACCCAACGAATACACTCTGAAGTCGGATGGGGTGAACGGATTAGGGTGCCCCTCTCGCAGGGGAGAGCAGGGAGCTGCCTCCAAGGGAAAGGGGGCCGCTGGCGAAGCTATACCACCCTGTAACAACATACATACATACGCACGCACGCAGGTGTAAGAATGTAAACATCAGGTATAGCCTGCACAATTAGATTGCGTTATTTGAATAGCGGAATACCGGGATCAGGGAAGCCGACGGCAATGAGAGAAATCGTCCGCCAGTATAGTAAAGCAGGCGTAAAATGGGGATTGGGACCGATACAGACAGACAGACATACACCTGGACGAACGCAGGAGATAACTCTCCAGCCTGAATGCATGCTTAGCAAGGCCAACCGCTCAAAGCTCAAACCCGTCAACCGCTGTGGCCGCTTTCGTCGTCGTCGTCATCGCGAGGCAAAAATTGATTCCTTAAGAATTAAATTACGAAAGAAAATGAAAGCGAATGAATGTCTCGTGCAGCTGCCCCCGGCCTCCCCCCTAGACTCTAGGGCCTAGAGGCGCATTTCCCCCTCCCTGGACCTCCAGACCTGGCCTCGTTTCAGGAAAACCTTCCCGGCCATCCCGGCGGCGGGGTTGTTAGGCAGTGGCTCCCTGCGGGCACCTTCGTGAGCACTTAGTTCCTCGTCTGGCGCCCGGGAAGCTGGAGACTCGGCGGTGCTGTTGAGTACAGTTTTCTGTAAGGTGACCACATGAGGAGGAAGCGCCGAATTACGGCTAGGATGGCGTCCGGTAGGGAGGTGGGTCGGCCTCCGAGGTATGGTGGGGCGATCTACTTGCCGGGATCTCAGGCGGCGATGGCAGGAATGCGGGCAATTGGGCCCCACGCCATCTGACACGTAGTACGGGCTTGGGCCAGGTGGTATCAGTTGGTAAGCGCGAACTGGGAAGGGGGGGAAGGCATGGGGGGTGAAGCTTGGGGAAGGCATGGGTAACCGGCCTCTGCACAATGCCGGGGAGAACTAACTGTCAAGGGCAGGACAATGTTTACAAGGCCTTGGTTGACTTATTAAGGCTTCGAGCAGTTCTTCGTATGTACAATCCAAGTAACCGTTTGTCAGGTTGGTGGGCTTGGTGCAGGTACCGTACGGATAGGGACAAGAAACTGCCAGCCCACGGGGCCCGGGGCCGGCAAATTGTCGGTACGGATACGATGCTGCGGCCCTTATGGTTAAATTTCACGTGCCATGAGTTGACGTTGCAGGATTTTCAATGACTTTGGCATAATACGTTTCCAGCAATTGCCGGTTGGGCTGGTGTACTGCACACCGGTGCTTTTGTGGTACCCACGGAGTAGAGTTTACGTCCTTTTATTTATATACCTGAATCTGTTTCATATTCCAACTGCTGCTATCTTGAAGTGGTACACCCGTTTGGCTCCGTCATGATACTACGGGCAACCTGAAGATAGCCCAAGACGTTTCACGCTCGTTGGGCTTATTTGTCTCAGTGCTGAGAGAAATTTGTTAGGGCATACAAATTAGCGTGGTGACGCCTAGCATATCTTATTTCAGGCGTTGGTATACTGAGGCAAGGGCACCAGTGGGCCAAGAGGGCCTGTCCCATGGAGCAGTATCATGAAGCGGACCATCAGGACACCAGCTATGTTGACTGGTCGTTCCTTCCCCCGACGGCGTTGCATGTGAGTCCGTAAGGTCCCAAGCGCCAAGACTGCCATATGCCGCAATGCTTTTCAATCTGCGTTTTCATCTCAAAGGAAAAACAGCAATCGTGACGCATGCCGGGTGGAAACCAGACATTCCCAATGTTGGTTTAATGCTGTTGGTTTGATGCTTTGTTGAATTCCCCCAGGTCATCGGTACCGTGCTGCCCCCATCGTCTCTTCTTAGAGCTAGGCTTGTCAATCGGCATTGGGCTGGCTGTCTGGCAGCGCTTGTTGACACGCTTTACATAGTGCCCGAGTACTTCTTGACGGAGCAATCCGTGGCAGAGGTGCAGAAGGCCTTTCCCAAGGCAACGACAGTGAGCCTAGATTTGCAAGACACGTTTATGGCGGTTCCTCTGGCGTACAAGGATAGCCTGGACCGCTACATTTCTCTGCGTAATGAGCACGTGGCAGCGGCCGATGCGACAATTGAGGAAGCCTCAACGGCGTCTTCGGACGTGTGTCAAACGGATGGTGCAGCGGACTCGGGCCGACCCAGTGAGGACGCAAGTGGTGGAGCCATGGGCACGGCAGAGTCAGCACCCGAACGACCAGCCTCCCCGGCAGATGCTGATGTCACTGGTATTGAGCCATCTTCCCAAGCGTCAACCAGCACGCCGCACACATCCGGAACCGCAGCTCCCAACCTGGGTTCCTCCACTCCAAGCTCCTCGTCGGCGCCGCAGCCGTTCCAACCGCAACAGCAACAAAGCGTCGCGGCGCTCGCCGCTGCCTTTGCTGCGGATTTCCTTAATGGCGCGCACAACTGCAGGACTGGAAGCGCCGGCTGCAGTGCATCACCAGCAGAGCCACCGGGGCCACCAGCACCTGCACAAGCAGCCGAGGGTGGTGGCGACGCAGGCCACGGTCAAGCTGACCCACCTGCAGCGGCGCCTGCTACAGGCGGCAGAATTGAAGCGGCTGTCGCCGCCGCCACCGGGGCCGTCGATCCTCCCGTCGCCGTTGCGGCAGACCTCGCTGGTGCGGCCGCAGTCCCGGCCCTGGTACCAGTGGTCGGCCAGCTGCCAGCTATTCCTGGTGCGCAGCCTCCTTCATCTCCGCCAACTTTCCCCTACTCGGCCATCCCCGTGGAGCCCCTTACGGGCCTCGTTCCCCCTGCCGCCACTCACTTGCGCGTGCGGCTACCTGATAGTCTTGACGTGCAAGCCCACCACGCGGATGTCTCCACTTCCTGGGATTACGTCTCCGCGCTACTCGCTCGTGTGGGCTCCAGCCTGTCCAGCCTCTCCCTCTCCACCGCACCGGACGCTGCGCACATCTCCATGCTGAGCCCTTTGACGCAACTCACCTCCCTCATCATGGACGAGGCCTCCCACTCCACCTGGTCCGTCGAGCACCTCCCCATCGTTGGATCTCTGACCGGGCTTCGGAACCTGGCCATTAAGATCCCTCCCTTCCGCAGCAGCCGCCCTGACCCGCCCACCACTCCGCAGCCGCCCGCCGCGCTGGCATCCTGGACGGCTCTTCAGCGTCTGACAAAGCTCCACGTCTCAGCGCTGCGCTACAGCTTCCACTCCTCGCTTGTAGCCGTGCTGCCGCACCTGAACAATCTGGAGTACTTGGCGCTGCGGGCACCTCAGACGCGGCTGCCGTGGATGGGAACCGAAAAGCCGCTGTTTGCCAATATCGGCACGCTGACGGGTCTCACTCAGCTGAGTCTGGCGCTGGGGGATCACAACATGGCGCCGCAGGACTGGCAGTCGCTGACCACCCTCACCAAGTGAGAGGGGGGCGTGTGATGGGGCACGAAAGGGGCCTAGGGGTTTAGGACGAGTCTGAGGCGATGGAGGCGAGTTGGTTTGCCCAACGGCGTATGGGGATTAGGTTGGCGGCGCTGGCCTGTGGGTTAGTGTGGGTGCAGCACATCCCGCACATCACCCCCGGCGCCAGGTGATGGCTAAATAACCATTTAGCCTCCTCTGGTTCGCTGCAAAGTCAGCAGTCGGCTGGCAGAGGCTGGCGCTGGCTTGGAGTGTCATGTGCGCTGAAGGGCGGTGCGCTTTGTTTTGTGCAGCACAGCACAGGGGGAATGAATGCTGCCCGCCGGAACATGCTACATGTCCAAACGCGGGTGAAGGTAGCTGATGCTGTATCTATCTGTGTGTAGGGGCCCCGGCAAGACGTTACTGCGGCCCACATGCAGCAAGTATATACGTGTAGCCTAATGAACTGGTGTTCGGGACACATTCGCCCCGACGGGGCCCTGCGCATCACTACCACCTAATCCCGCATGGGCACACCGAATCGGGGCACGGGTGGCCCAGATGGGTGACATGGGTGGCTCAAACGCCATGGGAAGCGGGATGGTGATGGTTTCTTGCGTGGCGCCTGCTGTGCACATGCAGCTGTTTCTAGGGGTAGTTCCACACTTCTGTCCCGGTCCTTTCAGTGTTCAGCGGAACCTGCTGCCCTTTCGGGCTGCCTGGACATCTGCAGTTGGTGATACTGTTGGTAATACATTCCTTGCACAATATTGTCATCGCCTCTGAGTCTGAAATCAACATCAATATCAGGTGATCTTGCTGCCATCCGTGTCACCTTGCAATCTTCTCATCCCTCTCCTCGTGCCAGGCTCTCCGCTATCGAGCTGAGTGTGTCGGAGGGGAGTGACGGCCTCAACGTGCCAACGGGCTTGGAGTTCCCGGCGCTCAAGTCGCTCAAGCTAAGATACCCGAACAGGTGCCTATGCGGCAGGGGCTTGAGTTTTTGAAACTGGTTGACGTCGAGTTGGCCCTGTCGACTCGACATGAATCAGTTTCATGTCGAGTTGACAGCAGGGCGGAAAATGGCAAGGAAAGAGGTGGTGTGACGCGGAGTCGGTTGGACCAAGCGTTGGCATCGCCCAGGCGTTTGTGTGTTCATGCCACATTTCGTCCAGGCCTATGCATACGTGCATTGCGCTGCGGGCCGTTGGTTGCCCTCGCTATCCTCTAGATGTACACACAGGTCATGTACGCGGTGTGGCAGGACTCTGCCTCGGAAGGCAGCTCCGCTTAGATGCCTAGGTCTAGGGTTTCTACCACGTAGGGTATTTAGACAAACACGCACACTTCCACTCCTTCCCCCCAAAATCAGCTTCCTTTGTGGTTGTTTTCCATTCGCGCATTCACTCCCCTCCCCCTTGGCCTTACTCCCCGGGTCGTTCACGTTCGTCTTCCCCGGAACTCCCCCCGCTGCTCATTGCAGCCAAGACCTGGTCCGTATCGCCGTATGGTCCGGTATTCAGCGACTGGATATCAAGTTCCCCGAACACGAGCGGGAGTGGCACCAGGTAGATGGGTCCGGAGGGGACCCGATAGCCATGGAGGCCACATATCGAAAGAGGATGCTTGCATGCGAAGGGTGCGCCGCATGCTGATGGGCACGCAAAACAATTACCGCAATTGCCCTGCCCCCTCCAAAGCCTTCTCCTGCAACCGCATCGTACACATTCTCTGCTTCCTCCCCATTTTCTTCTATCCACCTCTCTCATCCTTCCAGGTCATCCTTCATACAAAACATACGCCGCCTCTTGCCTTCGGAAAGTGCGCTTTTGCATGTTGTGTTCTTTTCCTCCTCCTCCTCCTCCTCCTGGTGCGAGCACATGTCCCCCCTCCACATTTGCCAACCGCCGCCGCCCCTGGACCACTGCAGGAAGATGCTGTTGTTGAGCTGTTGGACTTCCGCACCAAGCTGCTTCCAACCGCTGGTGCCGCCGTTATCTGCTCTGTATTGGACAACGCCCCCGCAGCTCACCTGGCTGCCAGTGGTGCCCTGGATGCGGGGTTCAGTCTGGGGCCCGCAGGGGTGGTGGCGCTCATGGGGCAGCTGGCTCCCCTTCACCAGCAGCAGCAGCAGTCAGGGGCTGGTGGGGGCCCTGGAGGAGGACGTCATGGCAATGCGTCCATGCCGCCCACGGGTGCGGGCAACACGGCCGGGCTAACGTCCTGGTGGTCACCGCTGCTGCCGCTACTGGCGCTGCCGAATATGGTGGACTTCAGGTGGGTTGGAAGGGGGTGCCGAAGCGGGGGTTTGGGGGGTTTGGTTCGGAGACAGGAAACTGGGGCCCGCTGGTTAGGATGTCCTATGGAACAGCTTGTTGCAAAAAAGCAGCAGCTGTTTCCCCCTGTCCTGCCGCCCTCTATCGTCCGTGTCTCACGCGTCGGGAGTTGTTTCTTTGGCTTCGCATGTAATCCCCCCCCCTTCACCCTCTTGCCCTGGCAGCAGCTTCTACCGTGTGTGGTTCGTCTTTCCCCCTTCACCCCGTGCTCTGCCAGGTGCTCCGCCAAGGAGGGCCTTGCCAGCCACGATCCCATCTTATTTGATGAGATCATTTCGGGTCTGTGCGCCGCCTGGCCGGGAGTGACCCGGCTGTGTTTCAAGGGCTGCATCAACGTGCTTAGTCAGCAGGGGGGCTGGGACTCGCTCAAACAGCTCACCAGGCTGCAACAGCTAGAACTCAGGTCAGTGCGGATAACGGGGGGAGGGGGGGGTATGAAGGCAGGGAGCAGAGGGAGGGTCCCTGGACGGGGCCGAGGTAGGATGGGACACAACTTACACAGAGTTGTAAGTTGTAGCGAGGGCAGAGGCCAGGAGGGTGCATCACAGGTGAACAACTCGACGGGTTGTGTAGGAGACGACGGGATAGTGAGTCTGAATGAAAGCTGTGCAGGAAAGTTGCACATGGCGTTGTTTATTGTAGGAGGAGGGGCAGGGGCGGTAGCAGTAAGCAGCTGCCTTGAGAGTGCCTTGGGAGCGGTGAGGGGACATGAAACCGTGCGGCAGGCAGGAAAGCCAAGCAACATTTGGCCACTGGTCAAAGGGATCTCGCGAGGTCATCTCTTAGCTGTTTGCCTGCCTGTCTGTCAGTCTGTCTGTCTGTGCCCGCTCAGGGATACTGATGGGGTTGGAGGACGACAAGTCGGGAGGGGGTTGTCCGTGTGCTGCTCGCTTTGCATGGCGCTACCCTCAAATCGCAGCTGCTTAGGCTTCATCACCACCGGGCCTGGCGCCCTGCTAACTGCCGCCTTTCCTTCGCGACGTGTGAACTTCGACTTTCGTTGCATAGCCTCTTGTTTCCTCAACCCTCCAGGTTCCTCCTCCTCCCTTGCCTCTCCTTCCAGGCACCACCCTCCTCAGGAGGGAGAGCCCCCCGCGGACCACAACATCTCACGGGCCCAGCGAGCTCGCTTCCTCCGAGTAGAGCCCATCAAGCTGCCGGCAACCAGTCTGCCGGACTCGTTGCAAGTACGTGTGCTTATGTCCGTATGTATGCATGTATTTCCGAGCGTACGTTCTGCACACCTATTCGTGGCTCTAAACAGGGAGCTCCCCTACGTGTGCGTATGTTGGAAGCAAGCACTTATCGCCCACCCACCCCGCCCACCAACAACCTCACTCCGCCTGTCACTTTTGCTTGCTCCCAAGATTACATCTGAAGAGGCGACCAGGCGTCCAAACTTTTGACGTCCTCTTCCCCTTTCTGGTGATCTCCGCCAGACGCTGCTTTTGGAGAACGTGGAGCTGCGGAGGAAGGAGGTGCGCGCTGTAGGGGCCGGGGGGGGTGGGGAAGAATGCACATGATGGGCGGTGGAGGGAGGAGTTGGTCCGAGCACGGGCTAGGGTCCGGTTCTCCTCACACCTAACGGGGCCCCTTCCGCCCCTTGCCCTGCCTTGCTGCCGGCACTAATTCTTCCTTTCGCCTATTTTATCCCTCCATTAGACGTACTGCCTGACGAATCTGACATCGCTGGAGCGGCGCACTACCTGCCGCCACTTCCCCGAGTTTGTGGGGATGCCGTTGCAGGTACGGACGTGTGTGCGTGTGTGTGTATTTGTGTTTGCTATCCGGCTTGCTCTGTGGCACGCACTGCAACGTCCCTCATTACCTGGATTTACCATTACGACAACCCTGTTGCGGCCCACATGTCCCCTTGTGTTATCTGTGTGACACTGCTTCTTGGCGCTGTATAGAGCCCTTTTTTCTCTTCCCGTATGTAGAAATTTCATATCTTGCGCGATGTGCCCTCGTGTGTGTGCTGTCCTCCCCTAACCCCTCCTCCCCCCAACGTACCTCGCCTCCCCCATTGGCTGTGGCCTCCGCTGCCCCCTCAGCGTTTGGTGGTGTCCAACTGCTGTGTAAAGGCCAAGGGCATCGCCTCTATCGCGTTGGAGTGCGGCAGACTGACCCACTTGGTGTTTGCGGTGTACAAGGTGTCGGAGGAGGCGGACCTGAGGGAGCTGCAGGTTAGAGGCGGGATGGGGGGACGCGGTGTGGTATGGATGTGGGCTTGGCAGGGGAGTGGTCTGGGGCAGGGGGACTGCGGAGGTGATGTCTGATGACACGTACGCGTCCTATCAGCTATCTTACATCCGTCCCCGTTTCCTTTTCCTTCCGCATCCACCCACGAATTCATTTGCCCATCCCTCCATCCACTCGTCCCCTACATCCGTCCGTCCGTCCGTCCGTCCGTCCGTCCAGGACATTTTCCATGACATCTTGTATCCCAAGGCAATGCGGTGTGTCTTGACGTGTTGCGCTGCTGGTTTCGCCTGCTCCCTTTTCCTCCCGATGTGTCCTCCCGATGTGTGTACCGTCCCTCGCTGTCAGGGCGCTCTTCGTCACCTGGTTTGCAGTCTGACTCAGCTCCAGGTGCTCAAGGTGCGAGTGTTGGCGGGCTGCATTACTCAGGCGCTGGTGCAGGACATGGTGCAGCACCTGCCCCACCTGCAGCGACTCAAGCTCACCAGCTCGGACGGATGGTCGGACCCGGCCCTCTTCCTGCCTCTCACCCGCATGTCCGGGCTGAGGAAGTGCTCACTGGCTTACTTCAAGAGCGCGGAGTTGGCCATGCTGTTGCGCGCCGAGTTCCGTACGGCGTTGCCGTACTGCAAGATCAAGGCCAAGCACGAGACAGGTTGACGCCGTGGGACTGCAGAGCGCGATAGTGCGAGTCCAGGAGGAGGACAGAGGAGGGCAGGTGGTGGGGGGGGGGAGAGAGGAGAGGAGGATAGAGGGAAATGAAGGGGGTACATGAGAGCAGCCCGTCGCCCTTGGCTGGCTGTCCCTGCCAGCCAGCGCCCGAAAGCGCGCAGCATGGCGAAGGCAACGAAAAGGCAAGGCAAGGTGGCGTTCCTTCTCCCCGTGGGTGCCCCGCCCTGCCCCTATTCAGTGGGGGCATTCTTTCCGCACCTGCTGAAAACAATTGTGACAGACATACGTGTTGTATGTTTTGGCCATTGCTTGCAGATAAACCCTCCTCTTTCCCTCAGCTCTTTGGTTTTCATGTGGGGAGGTAATAAAGTGGCCTCTGCATTTGTATGTTGTGAATGCTTCATCATCTCGCATACGGCTCTGTGACAGCCTTCAGTCAGGTTGAATGGGGTGGGGGGGTGGTACGCGGACGGACTTGCGAGGCCACCGAGATGATGTTCCCCATGTGTTGTTGGTGTTTGCAGCTTGTTGTGCAGCTTGGACGGTGAAAAACAGAGGCATTGCGGTGCGGGGTGGATTTCAATAATGTGGAGGATAATGTGGATGGGGGTGCAGTCCGGGGTTTTGTCCGGTATGCGTCATGGTGCGGTGGGGCAGGCTACTGGGTGTGGGGGGAAGGGCCCGGGTATTCCCCCGGGTCACCCCGCTGCCCCCGGCGGCGTTTTGCACTTTGTTGGCTAGGCCGTAGATGGAAGTAGATGGGAGAAACAACTCCAACCAAGCAAGCTTTATCATTTTGGCGGAGAACATCTGTCGCCGTCGTTGGTGTAGTACGGGTAGTGGTGCATCGTGGTGGTGGTGGCATTTGGAGCAATCCGCGCATGCAGGTCATGTATGCATCTATGCGGCTGCGCGAAGCGGTATTAGGGGTAGCTGGTGTCCCACCACCCGTATGGTACGTATGATACCTGGCGATGGTGCCCGCGCTTACATCGTACACAGCCGTCTGTTGCCTGTATGGCGCCGCCGAAATGTGTGGTTGCAAACGCACCGGGGCTGCGGCCGCAGCGAGAGCTACGAACGACGTGTGCGAGCGCCGCACGCCGGGTGCTGTTCCTGGAGGCAGAGGCGACGGAGGTGTAGGCCGCGTGCAGGGCTGCGGTTGGTGGTGTCGGGAAGCTGGAAGAGCGCGGGGGGGGGGGCAGCAGGGACCAGCAGAGTCCATAGCTCAGCCTTCATTAGCATGTTGGCAGTTTACGGTAGCATAAAAGTGATAAAATGTGTGCTGAGGGGAACTCCTAGTTCTCCGTCTGGTGCTGGTGCGGGGGTGGGGTGGGCGGTTTGCGGGGTTCGTAGACCACTGGTGTAGAGCACGACGAGGTCGTTCTGACGTTTTGGTTTGTTGGAAAGGGAGTCCACTATGTCGTGGCTGTCCTTATGAAGACTGTGTTCATGGGGTGAGGTCAACCAGGTGGCGCTGGTGGCGTAAGTGGGGTGGATTGCGATTGGATGGCTAGTGTACTAACATAAGCAGATGCAGGGAGGGGCTACAGTGGGGGCCGGGTGAGGGCGCTTTGGAGAGAACGCTTTAATTGCGTACTGTCGGATTGCTAGTTGTTTGTTCGTCTTGCAATGATCGTCTTGGCGTTTTAAGTCTGTGTGCGAGAAAGGGGCCCTGAGGTGTTGAGACCCGGTTGTCCGCTCGGTGGATGTTACAGCGCTGCGGGGTGGCGGGAAGTCGGGGCCGGGGCTAATGTTGGTGGAGGAGAGGATGGACGAAAGAATGGAGGTGGAGGGCTACTGGTGATGCACGGCATTGACGTACTGGGCCCCGAAGGTGACAAGGTATTGTTGTTATGGCGCATTATGTGCGTTTTCGTTTGTGGTACACGCCTAATGTCATGCACGGTTTGCGAGGAGTGTGTGTGGCATGGTAGTATGTGCAGTGTCATGTGTGCTATTAAATGGTGTGTGCACGGCTATAGAACAGCTGCCTGGGGACTTGAGCGAAACGCGGGGAAGATGTTAGCGGGAACAGAGGCGGAGCTGCCGGGGTCGCTATCGGTTTGGGGTTGGCGCATGTGTTCGGGTCAGTGGCTGCGCGGCCTCCGCGCTCACCGAAGCAAGACCCACCCTGAAGCGGGTGACGCAACAAGGGTTTTTTGCCATAAGGGCCGCGTGCAACATGGTAGAAATGAGCAACAACAGTTTGCAACATCTCATTTGTACGACTGTTAAGCCCAGTATAACATCGTACAATATCGTCCATAAGTACGTACACGTGCGATCTGTTGTAATTTAATCCTGACATAATGAGCTCCAGTCGGTGGCCGTGCGGTGCTGCTGCTGTGTACTTCCTGCTGCTTGCGCTAATGACTTGACATTGCCAGTTCTTTTAAATGTGAACTACATTAAAAAACGGTCAGCGCTCGTGCTTCCGTCCTTTCCTTGTTTCGTTAGGGGAATATTAGCAGGGCTGTGTGCATGTATGTGCGTGTATGTGCTGGGAAGTCCGCATGGCCGAGGGCGTGTGTTAAAGATGTGCGCTGTTGCGCGCTGAAAAGCTCCACTGCAGGCGAGGCTGAGTAGGAGGAGGTATGAAGTCCCAGACAACCTCCCCAGGTCCCACAGGTTATCGATAATTGCATGCTACCGGCATCGGCATACGAAGGAGATAGCGAATTAAGCAAGTAATGAGCGTAGCATGCGCCTCAACTGAAACTGTGGGCCGCGAGTATCTCCGACGGACAGGTGCATGCGTGGGCCGCTTAAAGGTAGGTTGATATAGAATACTGCGAAAGCGTTAGCCTGTAGGTTGTCTACCAAGCATATGCAGCGATCAAACATGGACGCGGAGAACTGAACTTACAGTTCCCTGACACACAGAGTGACATAGTCATCTTTGCATATTAGCAAAGGACAAGTAAAAATATACATGCCATCGTTCGAAGCCTCCACGACCTGGGGTTGTATGTAAAAACTCCTTGCTTTGTTAACAGGTCCGTGGATTTGCACGTTGCACCGGAACCAAACGGTACCATCGGCGAAAATGCCGTAATCGCAAATACAGCTTGCATCCTTTCGTGCAGGTGTCCATGCTCTTATGACACGCGCATAGCGCATGCGTGCGCTAGGCGTAGTACCGGCACATCAGGTATCATTTAAGTGCTGAAGTGGGATTGCCCACCACACTCCGTAGCGGGGTTAATAATAAACTCAACTGTCGAGAAGCATAAGTCAATCACAGTCTTTCCGAAACCTTGCACGCAAGAAGTGCAGAAATAAGCGGCAGGATTACGCAGCCTAGATAACTGCTTGTTGATTATTGTTTACTGCTGGGTTGGAAACATAAGATTGCTTTCTTGAGGCTCTAATGCATCAGCCGGATGGACGTGCCGGGCCTTCACCCGGCTCAACGCTCCCTGATGGTTCCGCAAGGCCGTCCACAGCCCTTCCTCAGCAGTTGACCCTCAGCAGCACTCCCTACCTCAGCACGTCAGCTAGGAGCCCTCTGCAATGTTTTCGCTCCAGCTCACGGCCGATGGTGGTCGCCGCTCGCGCAGCGTCATCCCTGGGCGGCCTGCGCTTCGGCAGGGCAGCCTTTCTTCCAGCCTTGCCTCGCCTTGCAGCTCTCGCCTTCAGCACGCAGCCGTCCTCCATCCCTAAACCGGGCTTCGCGCCGGGTGCACCGGGAGCCACACCCCCTCCCCCAGGCACCGCTCCGAACTCGGCAGCACAGGCAGCAACAGCATCACCACCGCCACCAAGCGGCATTTCAGCCACTGCTGCCAGCGGCTCCACCCGGCCCCCTCCAAGGGGCGCTGCTTCCTCGGCACCACCCGGCGGTGGCGGTGAAGGCAGCGGCAGTGGTGGCGCTGCTGCCGCACCCACCGCCATAAAGACCCGCAGCTCGCGACTGGGTTGGGTGATTCCGATCATTGGACTGCCGCTCATTGCTGCCTACTATAATTACCAAAAGGTGCGATCTGGGTCGCGGGCCGCCAGAGATGGATATTTTCTAATTGCAGGTTGAAAACTGAACCTCGAGACCGCCGGCGGCTGGTCAAGGGAATGAAACCTCCTTCCCTCCCTCCTGGCCATGGCGCCGGCTACCACCCCCCTTCGACCACCACCATAGGCTCAGTGACATGCGCGCACGTCCGTAGTCCTTATTGTTCCAGGGGCTTGCCGCTGGAGTGGTTGCGTCGCGTTCGTTATGTTGGTTGGGTCCTTGGCCGTTTTTGAAGCATCATCGTTTAAACCACGGTCGTAGAGGAGGTCGGTTTCGGAGCTATAATCAATATCTTACCGTACGACGAATGCACAGACCCAAACTATATGTCCGGTTTCTAAACCTGCATCACTCAGGAGTACGACAAGGAGTGGGACACCAAGGTGGAGAAGCTGATGCAGGAGTTCATGGCGGAGAGGAGGCCGCCGCCGCGGACCCTTACCACCGCACCACCACCACCACCACCGCCGCCGCCGCCGCCGCCACCACCACAGGCCCCTGAACCGGTGCCCACGCCGTCACCTTCGCTGCCCGCAGCGCCTCCTCCATCGGCATCCCCAAAGGCGACTGAGACGGCGCCGCTGCAGGGTGTGGCGAGCGAGCCAAAAGCCAAGCCGGAGGCGATGTCGGCAACGCCACCGCCAGTGCAAGAGCTGGCAGAGGCGGCCGCCCCAGCGGCGGCAGCGCCGCCGCCGCCGCCATCCCCACCACCGCCGCCACCACCATCGGACACGGAGGCTGCCGGCGTTATCTTGACGGCGACAGAGGCGGCGCAAAAGGCGGCGGCGGACGTTGCCCCCTCCTCCACCTCCACAGCCGGCTTTGCTGCCACCCCCGCAGCCACACCTGTTGTTGCAACAGAAGCCAAGAGCCCGGAGGAAGGTTCCACACCCGCACCCGCACCCGCACCCGTGCAGTCGCCTGAAGCCGCTGTGGCCACCGCCACGGCAGCGGCGCTTGCGCTGCTGCAAACGGGTGCCGTACCGGCGGCGCCTCTGCCTGCGGACCTCCCGCCAGGAAAGCTGGGGTTGGAGGGCATGGACCTCAGTCCTGTGGGCCTTATCCAGCACGCGGTCAGCTCAGCCCCTGTGGTGGACTGGTCGCAGTGGCCGGAGCGACATGCACAGGTGTGTCTGTCTGTATGTATGTATGTGTCTATGTGTGTATGTGTAGGGGGGGAGTTGTGAAAGAGGCGCCGGCAGCTGGGTTGGTGGGTTGTGCTCTTGGATAGGCGGATAAGGCCCGCTAAGGCCCGCTTTATCATATAGCCGTAGTTCATGGCGGGATGAGATTTATCTACCATTTTATCGTAATAACAACCTTAATTATTATGTTCATAAACATAAATACCGTTTTAAATTATCGTTGTCCTAACTACCGTAGTGGACCAAACAAGCAAGCAGGTGCTATGGCACTCGTGGAATGGAGGTCGCGGAGGATTAAGTCAGCTCACGGGTCCGATTACCCGTCACACCAGCACAATCTCTTTTGTTGTGTTCGGGAGCCCCTCTCCATCCCGGGGGCCATTATATTCCTCACCCATAGCATTACATATGAATTTCCCCAACTTGAAGAGTTCGAGAGACCACGCCTCTGACTGCCACACTTATCAATAACCCTTCTATCAATAACTCCGTGTCGCTGTAATCTAGTAGTCGTTTAGACCTTTTTGTTTGTTGCTATCTCCTTTCCAGGATTGACTTGACGCCCCCGGCAAACCCCCTTCCTCCTCTCTCCTCCTCCTCTCCCCACCGCCAGGCGGTTGCGGACTCCCAGCTCATGTTCGACGCGCTGAAGACGCTGACCAGGTGGCACGAGCAGCAGATGGCGGAGGTAGGAGAAGGCGAAGTTCGGGTGGGGGGGAGAAGTGCGTGTGTGTATGTATGTATGTATCCGCGTGCTGCGGAAAGCAGGACCCCGGTAGTTGGGTCGGTTGCCACTGGCGGTGTTGGGAGAAGAAGGGGGAGACCAGGGGCCCATCTTGGAATGGTGGCATGGTGGCGAGGGATCCAGGACGGGAGGGGGACGGAGGGTGCAGTGCTAATGCTATGTGCCGAGGTGACGATGATATGATGATATGATGATATGATGCCGTTTGGGAGCGCATTCCGGGGCTCCACCTTGCCAGCCGCCTCGGCCCTTCCCCCCACCAGCCTTAACCAATTAAATTACCACCTGGCGCCTGAGTGCTGATGGCGCTCAGGCTCAGTGCTGAGTTTAAACGTTTTACACGTTTAAACTCAGAGGAATTATCTACGCTTTGCAAACTCCACCTCGTGCTTCAGTGACCTTGTAGTCGTGCCCGTGTCGGCGAGATGCCCGCCCGGCTCTTGTTACATTGCCCGCACCCATCCCGGTTTCTCCTTTGGCCTTTCCCGCCTGAGCGCTGTCTCATTCCGCAATGTGGTAATGGTGGTTCCGGGGTAAGTATGCTTTGTCGGCTCCGAAACCTCCCCCCGCGCGGCGCTTGCTTCGAACAACCCAATGTGGCAAACACACGTATCTATGTGCTGCCCCACCCCGTCCCTCTGGTTGCGACCCCAGAGGCCCCTGCCCTCTTAGCGCTAAGCACTCCTAATCCCATTTTGACAGGTTCGCGGGCAGCTGGCAGCTGCCGTACAACGGTCCGAGCAGCTGCAATCCGCCGGGGAAGCTGCCGTACAGCGGTTTAAGGCGCTGCTAAGGCAGGTGGTGGAGTCCTCGAAGGAAATGCTTGAACTTGAGGTATGGTCTTCGCAATGCGTATGCGCTTACATACATACATACATTGTGCTGTGTGCTCCCGACCCTTGCGCTGTGTTTCGGCTTCGGCCCCCGGCTCTCGCAGCCCACAGTGTAATCTAAGTCATACATACATACATACATACATACATACATACATACATACATACATACATACATACATACATACATACATACATACATACATACATACATACATACATACATACATACATACATACATACACACACACACAAAGACATGTGTACACGCGGTTTTTATCGTTATCTCAACGTTTGAGACACCGGATGCTGACCACCAGTTCTCCTGTTCGACTGCTAGTGCAAATTTCGGCTAGATGCTAGCATCATCCATGGTGACGACGCAAGAGTGGACGTACATACTGCTGTACATGCGGATGTTGGGATTTATGGACCACAGGGCTGGTATCTGTAGGGCCCTAGGCCAGCGAAGGGATAAAAGATGTCCCATGATGCCTGATGGGCCTGATGGCCTCCCCTTGTCGCAACATGAGCCATGTCGTACACACGGCCGTACATGTGTGCAGGTGCGCCAAGCAGAGAAGCGCACACGGCTAGAGGCGGAGAATGTGCGTCTGGCGGAGGCCGTGAAGCGAGGCGAGCAGCTGGAGCAGCTCCGCCTGGCGGTGGGTGCGCTGGGGCTAGCACACGAGGCCCGAGTACGACAGGCGGCTGCCGCACAGGCAGGACACGCGCTGGCGGCGGGTGCAGCGGCGGTGGCGGCGGCGGCGGACAGCGGTGCGCCGCTGGGGCCTGCCGCGGCGGCACTGCGGAGCGGGGCGGCGGCGGTGGACTCGCTGGTTGAGTCCGTGGTGGCTGCACTGCCTGATGGACCTGTGGCGACCAGGCGAGTGTTTAGGGTGTGCGCATGTGCGGATACGATTGCGTATTGCCCGTCTGTCTGATGTCTGTCTGTCTGTCTGAATATGATATGGAGGATTTTGAGTAGCGAATGAGAAGACGTCAACCCCAGCTCTCTTAGCGCTACCTTAGCGCCGCTGCCGCCCTTCCGGTCCCTCCTCCGCCGCCACCTGCTCCCTCCCCCTCATCCCGACCCTGCAGATATGCGAATTCCCACTCACCCACCCACCCGCCCGGCGAATAATTTATCCTTCGCGTATCCCCATCCTCTTTCCTGCACCGCCCCTCCTTCCTGCACCCCTTCACTCTACTCTTGTCCGCTACTTGCCCCCCGCTCAGATCCGAGCTGTTGCAGCAGTTCCGGCGGCTGCGTCGCGACCTGTCCGCGCTGAGCTACCTGCCCGGGGAAAAGGCGGGCATGGTGGCAGTGGCGGTGGCGAGGCTGGCAGCCGCCCTCAAGGTAAAGTTGTGCGGAAGTTGTACGGAGGCGGTTGTACGTTTCCAGAAGACGGCCGTAACCGCAACTCACAAGGCAGCGCGGCGTGCGGGAGGGACAGAGGGGGAGGGTTAGGATTGCAGGTGTGTGTGTGGGGTGGTTGTGATGGCTGACAGGTGAGGGGAGCTGACCTGCATGATGGGGTTGGGGGGAAGGGGGCGGCGACGCGCTAGCAGCTGTCTAGGAAGCGCATCCTGGGGAGAGGCAGAAGGGCGACACCCAGCACAGGGAGGCAGTTACCACTACTACGTGTGGGAAGGGCAAGGCAGGTTCGCGCCCGTGGGGGGCCCTACTGGTCGCCTGGGAGCTCTTGGAGCATTCGACGACCGTCCGTCTAAAACCGCGTAACCGTGCACCACAATGACAACGTCATCACAGTCGGCACGGCTAACGAAAACCCTAAGTCCCCCTCTCCTGTTTAACCCCTCAGGCGGACGAGTCCGAGGCCGTCAAGGTGTTGGGATCTCAGTATGGGTCGGGGGGAGTTGATGCGGCATTGGCGCGGACGGAGGCGCTCGTGACTGCTGGCCAGCTGGCCGCAGCGGCGGAGCTGCTGGCGGCGGCACTGCATGGTACGGCAGCGGCGGCACTTGCGGCAGACTGGCTGGATGCCGTCCATAACCGCACGGCAGCGGAGGCGGCCGTCGCAGCGCTGAATGCCCACGCGGCGGCGACATGGGCGTCCATGGCTTGATTAGGCTCGCGGTGTGTCCTCCTAGCATGCAGATGGACGGTCCCTTCGTCTGAACGGGAGGCAAGGGAGCATGCGCGGACGGTGGTCATGCGGACGGACAGACAGATGGTAATTAATCGTGGATCATTCTAGAACGAGAGGGACAGGCAGGGCGGGCGAAGGGGGGAAGTTCTGCAGGAAGTATGAAAACCTGGCGCAGGGGCAACGCGGGGCTACTAGAACCTGGTGCTTGCTACTTCCGTGATGTACCAGCCGTAGAGCGGTCTTGACTGGCTGGTTGGGCGGCACTAAGTTGTTTACAACCCCCTCCTTGCAATGGTGGGTTGTATGTGACCACCCTGGCATCCGTCCGTCCGTCATTGCTGCCTGTTGCCGTACAGTGCTTCGTGATGTTCGGTCGCTGCAGGGCTGCACCACGTTGGGGTGGTTGTTAAACACCTCATGGGTTGTGCAACCCCAAGTGGGAAATACGACGTCCTCCCAGAACTGATGGGTTGGGTAATCTCGCGCTGTGCATCGCGATGTAGGAGTGATTCGTTAGAGATGACTGTTGTCTTGTATTTCTTTAAGTTAGCTAAGCATTTCTGGCCTGATGGCTGTTTGATGAACCGGTGGTAGGATGACGAACAGTTATCATCTGTTGCTGTATGCACACGGTGACTGAATCATTTTAGTAGTTGTCCACATTGTAACATCGGGCACGAGCCATGTACGTCAGTGTTCCAGTTGCACTGATGGGGAAAAGGTAGTGTGGCTGCAGTACCGTTTACAAATTCGGGTTTAACTGTTTCAACGACTGTCGCCACTGTAAGCAGAGGGCTGGATGGCAAAGCGCTGAGGTGAGAGGTGTCATAAGCCGTCGAGAGTTTCGTCGGAAGTCATTAGCCCATTGCGCTTGTCGGCATGTGTTTACATCCATTTTTCCTCTCATCGTGCGTACAGTGATAATCAATCACCAGTACATTTGAAAATCTTAAGGTTTTAACAAGAGTGCTCACCCTTCGAGCAACAACGATCCGTCGGCTTGCGTTTGTGTGTGGCAGCATCGTTTGCATTGCCGTGCAAATTTTGCCCCACGCGCGCCAGGACCAACCACACACCGCACACCCCACCATCGCCACCCGATATGTCGTATTTTGAAGATATGCCCAATGGAAACCAGACCTCTCCCTTGCTCGCAAACTGTTTTGATATAGTACATGGAGATTCATTAGTCGCACACTTTGCCCCGGCCCTCACGTTCTATGTGCAGCACGCACATGCACTTCACGAAAACGATTCGGAAGAAGAAGAAGGCTGGTTGGGATAGCTTTTGGTCCGATCCGCTCAGAGCGTGTTTGCCCCACGAAATGTGTCTGGAGCAACCACAGCCGCGCGCACCCTCCTGCTTCATCCCCTAATTGGGGCTGCATTCGCACAGCAGCGCATATCGAATCGCGCCTTCCCGCAGGAGCCCAAAGCACCAAGAGAAAAAGAGCTCAATCCGAAAGGGAACCCGAAACGCGCGCAAGCACAACGCTTGTCATATTCGTGTATCTGTTGTATAGCCCCCCCCTCTTGCCCAGCACGTCTCCACTTCGGCTCTGAATCATTACCGCACAATTCACTACTAGTCATTCGTCACCACGAGTCCAAAAAGCGAACTGAATAATGAACGTGCGGGCCCCACAGTGTGTGGCTTCACAACCAGAAAGGTGAAATCTATCCCCCTCCCTCCCCCGTACAATGTACCACATAAAAGCCCATGTCAGTCACTCGAGCCATCCGCATGTTGTGCGATACGGTGCAGGAGCCCCCCTGCAATCCTGCATGTATACCCAATGGCCCTAGATACGAGTGCCGCCGTGCCCAAGGATCCGATGCCTCGGATCGCAGGAAAGAGGCCAAGCCGTGCCACAGCCAAAAGGGTGGAGGAACGCAGGCGTGCAGCCTCGCCCCAATCTCGCCCTTGCTTTCACGTGACAATGTGTCCAGAGACAAGAAGAAGCGCGCCTGCTGCAGAGGAGTAACTTGTTCACACACGCATATACACACTTGTTCCATTCTGGCTGCTGCACCTCTTGACGCAGCTGTGTTAGACAGCTCTCTTACTTGAGCATGAGCCTGGCGGGGGACGGAACGGAACGTCCAAGCAACAAAAAAATTTAGATATGTAGAGCCGCAGCAGCAGAGGCGGGTTAACAGCGAAGGTAACCAAACGGGTTCCTGCCGCCGTTTTGCTGTATATATGCACAACTCTGGAAACAACACCGCAGACATTGACAAGTGACGGAAGCAACCGCGACGGTTAGCAATCAGCTAAAAATAAATAAACAGGAGAATGAAAGAAGTTCCTACAGTGGCGCAGATGGAAAAACCTCCGAACACAGAAGGTGGCAATGTGGTTGGAAGATGACCTCATTTCATCCGGAGTCCCTGGCCCCTGGCCTGCATCCAGCTGAATCTATTCCATGCACGCGATGAGCCGATCACTCACTCAAGCGAGTCATCGTAATAGTTGGGGAAGAAGTCCTGCAGCGGGATCTGGACCAGCGGCCCGGCACGCATGGCTCGCAGTGCAGCGGTGGTGGCACGAGCACCGGCCACGGTGGTGACAGTTGGGATAGACAGCGACAGCGCCAGGCGGCGGAGCTCCTTGCCGTCGCGCAGGTCGGCCTCGTCGCCACTGCGGCATCAAGGACAGCATGAACGGATTAGCAAGAAGTGAAGAGAGGAGAGGGAATGGTTTTGCTAGGTTCTGCAAGGATATGAGAGCATTGTGAAATGTTGGCGACTTCGAAAACACCAACTGCAGAAAGGAATCGGGAAGAGGAGGGGGGGGAGCGGCAGAATAAAAGCATGAATGGCCGAAATGCACGCGTTCAGGGCGCCCACGGTGTATAAATTTATATCCATAGCAGCAACAGCACGACCACCATAACCACCACCAGCAGCCTGCTCTGCTTACCTGGACGTCATCATGACTAGGGAGACCTCGCCGTTCTTCATGAGATCCGAGGGATTAGGTCGCCCTTCCTGGATCTTGAACACCTGCTCGCAAGGCACGCCGGCGGCGCGAAGGGCCATGGCGGTACCGGCTGTGCGCACCACCGGACACAGGACCGCGGCGGGAGGGAGGGTAAGGGGCGAGGGACGTCAGGCTAGGAGGACGAGGAAGGAAAGGAGGGCGAGGAGGGAAGTCGCATTCAGGTGACGCAATAACACCGCGACCTCGGGCACGACCGGACCAGCACTATGAGCTGCAAAGCTAATTCTGCACGCACATGCGTTTTCTGCTTGGATTGGAGCCTCAATCCCGAACCCCAGCACTTGCCACCCTAGCATTACAAAACGGCACCGCCACCTCGGTGTCCTCCTTGGAACCCCGGATGTCCCAGCACCCAGCCCGCCGCTACTCACTTGTTGCCACCAGCCCAAAGCCCAGGTTTCCCAGGTCCCTGGCCACGGCGATGATGTCCGGTTTGTACTTGTCCGCCATGGATATGAACACTTTGCCGGTCTTGGGCAGCCGTTGGCCGGCCGCGATTTGCGCCTTGGCAAAAGCTGCCGAAAACTCCTTGTCAATGCCCATCACCTCGCCAGTGGAGCGCATCTCGGGGCCCAGTAGCGTATCGGCACCTACGCGCAAGTAAAATGATCCATAGTTGTTGGCTTGCGGCTCTGTCCCCCTCCCTATCGGCTGTGTTGGCCCCCCAGGTATTGTCTCCGCTGGGGTCCTCGCCTCTTCTTGTCTCCGTTCCCTCCTCCCTCTATCCAGCTGTCCTCCCTCCCGTTCACTGGGGCTACGTGGCGCTCGGCCCCATTCGGCCCCATTCCTTTCCCCGGCGCCTCCATTTCCCCCCTCCTGGCCCCACCTGGGAACTTGTTGAAGGGCAGCACCACCTCCTTGACCGCCACATGCGGGGGAATGGGCTCCTCCGTGAAGCCAATGTCCGCCAGGGTCTTGCCTGCGGCCGGAACGGGAACCGAGGAGGACATCAGTGAGCGGGCGGCCCCAGAAGGGGAGGCGGAGGGGGGCAAGACGAACCACTGGCGAATGAAGCAGATACCAGAGATAGACGGATGGTCTAGGAGGGCGGGGAGGGGGAGAAAGCTGAGTCCTTGAGCTGCCCGGGTGTCGTGTATGCCGGCGAGCGCATATCCTTGCGTAGTGTTAATCGTCTCTGTCGGTTGCGTCCTTCTGTGCGTGATGATGTACCTAGCCGTGCCTAGGTATTCTTACTGTGCTGTGCGAAGGTTTTCCGGTTGTCCCCCCCAATGGAAACATAGCTTAGCCTGTCACGATCCTAACCCTACACACCACCATCCGCAAGCGCTTTGGTACCAGCCGCTAAGGCCCCCCGACCGTGTTCTCTCTCTCCGCATGTTACCCTGCCCTCATCCCAGATCCCTGAGCTCACCCGACATGAGCAGGGAGGCGTACTTGGCGATGGGATGGCCCACGGCCTTGGCCACAAATGGCACCGTGCTGCGGGGCAACGAGGAGAGTAGGAGTTTATCAAGGGGAAAGGCCGCTAATGTCAGTCACTAATAGCAATTCAGACCTGCAGGAAAGAGAAAAGGGTTCGTGAAAAGTCGTGCAACGCCATGAAGACACCCTGGCCCTCATTCGCACGCTGTTTGGCTTTTGTAAATTGTAGTCGCTTGTATCTGTCAAAATCTGAGACCGAGCAACTTATCTCCTAACCCGGCGAGCTCACACCTCCACAAAGCATGGCGCTGCCGCCTCAACAGGAGTCTGCCGTACTCCCCCCCTGCTGCCACCCACACTCACCGCGAGGCACGAGGGTTGGCCTCAATGATGTACGGCACGTCATCCTGGACGGCGAACTGGATGTTTATGAGACCCACCACATTGAGCGCCTTGGCCACGGAAATGGTCCAGGACCTGGCAACGGCGACGCGGCGGACACCCCCCCGGGGTCATAGGCGGGAGAATTGCGCATTGTTGAGGGCAATGGAAGCGGATCATTTCATTTTGGGAAATCCACCCTACACAGGTGAAATTAGCATGAATGTCCAATGGCCGCCAGCAGAGGGACATATAACAGCAGCAGTTAACACTGCTGCTAATACTGAATTCCTAGAACTAGCAGCACTAGTAGTAGTAGTAGTGCTTGTAGTAATGGAGGTGCTGAACGGGGCTGGGGTCCGCACCTGATCTCGTCCAGCACCTTGGGCGGGATGGTTTGCGTGGGCAGCGAGCAGGCGCTGTCGCCCGAGTGGATGCCCGCCTGCTCGATGTGCTCCATGATGCCAGCAATCACCACATTGCCGTCCTTGTCACACAGCGCATCAACATCCAGCTCCACGGCGCGGTCCAGGTACTTGTCAATCAGTACCGGGCGCTCGGGGTCCACCTCCACCGCGAACGTTACGTAGCTGTGGCACCGCACCGCCCAGGGAATGGCCGTGTGTGGAGGAGAGCCGTGGGGGCGTTGATTGAGGGAGCAGCGCTGAAACAAGGTGTGACGGTGTGTCGGTACACAATAACAAATGAATCGAAGCACAGAACCTACATAAACCCCGCACGCGTAGCCAACCAGGTCGCAGTATAGGGACCCCTCTCCTCTGCAAACTTCGACAATCTCGATCCCGGTAACGACTCTGCAACCGCAGACCCCTCCTCCCCATCATGGGCCCACCGCTTGAGGTCCTCGTTGCTGTACAAGATCTCCATGGCACGTCCACCAAGCACGTACGACGGACGGATCATGACGGGGTAGCCTAGCTTGCTGGCCTTCTCAAACGCCTCCTCCTCGGAGCGAGCCGACCCACCGGCGGGCTGCCGGATGTTCAGCTTCGTGAGCAGCTCCATCCAGCGGTCGCGGTCCTCCGCGATGTCGATGGACTCGGGCGACGTGCCCCACACGCACACGTTGCCGTTGCCTGCACAAGGTTGCAGCGCGCGGAGGACGACGGAGGACGGAGCGGAGAACATGGAGTTGTGAATACCAGACTGCGAAGGTCATGAAGGATGAACGAAGGCAGCAGGGCAGTAAGGGCAGAACAGCACCGGCGGAAGAAGGCGGCTTCGCGAGGGTGCGTGTGGGTGCGGTGCGCGCGTATATGTGACAGCGGGCGCAGAGGCGGTGGTGGTATTATCAAACACTACGTCTATTATTGATTTCGGTTACTTAGTTTCGTCGTGCAACCCCTCACCATCCTAAACACCACCCAGGCAAGCGGAAGCGGTGGAAGGGAAATAATTGATCTTTCTAGTGGCCCCGTTCCACAACACCAGAGCCCTACCCGATGCCGCCGGGATGGGGTTCGCCTTGAGCGCCTTGTCCAGGTCCATGGCGATCTTGAGCGGTGTCTGGCCGCCGAACTGCACAATGACACCCTCGGGGCGCTCCGCTTCGATCACGTTGAGCACGTCCTCAACTGCAATGTGCAGGTAGGAGACGCGGCCAAGGGGAATGTGTTACCCAGGAGTGTTTCTGTCACGTAGGTTAATGCAATACTTCCAGTGGACTTCAAGCTTCGCTACGCAGGCCATGGGATACTTCCTCACTCATCCCCACCCCCTCCCATCAGCCAACATGCGGGTCGGTTACCACCGGTAGAGAACGGCGCGGTGCAAACCTCTCCCCTTACCGGTAATGGGCTCAAAGTAGAGGCGGGTGGAGGTGTCGTAATCTGTGGACACGGTCTCCGGATTGCAGTTCATCATGATGGTCTCGTAGCCCTGCTTCCTACGCGGGACTCGGTCGGGAAGGAGGAGGAGAAGGGGCAGAAAAAAGAATAAGGATAAAATGCGGGAACGGTAAGAAGGGGGCTCAGAAAGCAAGAAATGTGAAAGTTGAGATATAAGATGATGGACGCGAACCCACGGAAGCAAGCACGTTGGCTGCCTTCTTTGTCTTATGGTATAATTGGTATAAAAGCCCAATTGCTTTGGTCCGGTGGATGCTGCAAAAAGGCGGACGCAAATGCCTCAAGGACCGTTGCTTGGTAAGTGCGATGGCTTACTTAAACAAGGTTGGCACAATAGAGGCCGCTAAGACTGCAATATCCATGCTCGTTCCCTTTCACTCTGGTCCCGAAGCCAGTACCTGAGCGAGAAGGAGGCATGACAGCAGCAGTAGTCGAACTCGATACCCTGGCCGATGCGGTTGGGCCCACCACCCAGAATCAGCACCTTGCGCGCTGTGGTAGGGACGCACTCGCTGTTGCCGTCGTACGTGCTGTACATGTACGGCGTGTTGGCCTCGAACTCAGCAGCGCATGTGTCCACGCGCTTGTACGATGGCTCCACACCCAGGCTCTTGCGGTAGGAGCGCACGTCCATCATCGCGGAACCTGCAGGGTTTGGCGCGGCGCGGCATAACATGATTCAATTTACGAGTCCAGGACCAAAGATAAAGTCCTGAACCCAACCTAAGTTTGAGATAAAACCTGCTTATGATACATCGAAGTATGGCTAGCAAAGCCACGATGTTTCTCCCATCACATCTGCATTTTCCTGAATCCGCAACAGCTCCACCAGCAGCGGTAACTCATCTAGCTCTAGAGTATCAAAAGGTCCATGGCCAGTAGCGCAATCGCCCTTCACCGCCGCGCACACCTCGCCTGCGCATCTTGACCACCGGCTACCCTCACACCGTACCTTCTCCTCCTGTGTCCCCTACATCTCCCCCTTCCCCCCTACCTTCCCTACGTATACCCTCCTATCCGCTTCCCTCCCTGTACACAATTCCTTCCCTTCCCTGCATCTGATTTATCCACTTCTTGCAAACGTTGAATCCCCTCCATACATGCGAGGGAGCATATGCTGCCCTCTCCCTGACCCCTGCTCATCCCGGCCGCACCGGTGTATCGGGCAATCTGCGAATCCGAGAAGCCCTTCTGCTTGAGCCACGCCATCTCCTCCGCAGTCAGCTCAGTGAGCTTCTTGCTCTTGAGCCACTTGCTCACGTTAAACAGCTCCCGCATCTGGGCAAGCCACCAGGGGTCGATCTTGGTCAGCTCGAACAGGTCCGCGTCCGTGAGTCCCTCCTCCATCGCCTGGCAGCACAAGCAGAAGCGACCAGACGTGGGTCGGGTGCAGGTGGGTTGTCTTTTGGCGGGTTAGGTAGGTCAGGGTGGGGGTTATGTAGGGGGGAGGGAGGAGGGAGAGGAAGCATCCGGGGAACGTACTCGAGTGGACGGATGCGGTTGATGGATTGGGTGGGGATGGGGTAGGTAGGATGGGAGGGAGGACTGGCGGGCAGCAGGGAGAGCCGGCCCGCTTCTTTGGCTTTGTTGGCCGGCTGCTCTACTCGGCCTACTGGTCTCAGGCTTTTTACTGCAAGAACAGTGTCCGCATTCTTTTCCCCTCCCGGATCCCATAACACCACACGCGGCAGGAAACGGGTGCCGGTACCCGCAGACTCGGCTCACACCAATCAGCGTATTTATGATAGTAGCGACCCAGCGACCCACTTGAAACATGATGACGATGCGGTCGGGATTGGGCACACGCAGCTTGTACATGAGCTGGTCGCGCGGCAGGCGCTTGTAGTTCTTCGGCAGCGCCCAGCCGTCCAGTCCGGTCTCCATGCCGCGAAGGGCCTTCTGCAGGGACTCCTGCCAGGTGCGACCAATGGCCATCACCTCGCCCACGGACTTCATCATTGTTGTAAGCTCAGCCTTGGAGCCTTTGAGAACACGGGCGAAAAAAGGGCGCATGGAGGAGAAGGGGGGAGCACATGGCGGATTAAAATGTAGGCTGGCTTCGGGGACGAAGCGCTCCGCGTGGGATTGCAACCGAAACACAAGGTAATGCAGCGACCAGAAGCAACCTCAAGACAGGAATGCTCTTCGTTAACGGAGTTCGTAACTAACTGCAAATTACCGCGGTCGCTTTCATCGGTGCTGCTTTACCGCCCGCCCGCCCGGAATTCCGGAATTCCTGGCTTGTCCGGCTCTCGCTCGCCGGCACTTAGCGACCATCCACATTATACAATACCTCCTCTACGTGCAAAGCTCCAGCTCGCCATGTCTGCGCGCCAAACCGCCTTGCCCCCGCGACCAAAGTCGCCAGCCCACCGCCCAGACACAATCTTCGGACTGCCACCAGCCCAACCCACCAGGGAACTTCTCAAAGGCGAAGCGGGGCACCTTGGTGACCACGTAGTCGATGGAGGGCTCGAAGGAGGCAGGCGTCTTAAGTGTGATGTCGTTGGCGATCTGGTCCAGGGTGTAGCCCACAGCCAGCTTGGCAGCCATCTTGGCGATGGGGAAGCCGGTGGCCTGCAGGCAGTGCGGAGATGGGGGGTTACCGGACGTCCTAGGGGGAAAGCGCCACAGGGTGGCAAGAGGTGAGAGAGGGAAGAGAACACCTGCAGGCTTGCCGAGTGCGGAGCGTGGGGTGATGTAATGGACTAGCCCAGGAACAAGCAGCGAGCGATGAGGTCAGATTGATATTGGTCGACGCATGAATTCATTAAAGCTGGCCTGAGAGGGCACTGTGGGGGCACTGGGATGCGACGGCGAGATGGAGTCTGCGTGTTGGGAGGTGGTCAAGGCGGTTATGCAAATTTGACAGACAGGACTCGACACATGCGTCCAGACGGGGCCAAGAGGGGGACGCGTGCCCCGTTGCACACGTGCCACGTGCGTCGTGCAAGACAAAACACACGGGAAACCCGAGGCAGACGCCTGCGTGTGATGTGGCTTGGAGGTACAGGCCCCCTGCATGCCCCAGCAGCAACAGCATTGCGATGCAAGTAAGGCGCTGGAGGATAAACCGGCCAGTTGCACGCTGGGGACCACCGCCGATCTCTGCCGCCAGGACGTCGCAGAGCAGCCCACTTCACGCGTGGCTCCCTCCGCATTTTGCCACACTGAGCTCCGCAGCCAAGCCCACATGGCGACGACTGAAACCGCCGCCAGAAGCGCCAACGTCACTGCCGTGGACCTCCCGGGGGCTCTACAGCTGCTGCAGTCGCTGCTGTGGTCTCCCAACTCCCAAGTGCTAGCTACATAGGCAGCCACTACCCTCTGTGCAGTGCTTAATGAGAATACCCTTGCCGAAAGCTGGTGCTGTTGCAGGTGCTGATATCCGATTGTCATCCCTGACAACACATCCACCGCATGAACCGACGGCCACTCCCGGTATCCATGCCTGCACTTCGCCGCAATACCGTCATCCCCGACCTGTAGCACTGCCCGGTACCCCGGATAGACAGCCCAGTGTCGTACCTTGGACGCCAGGGCGGAGGAGCGGCTCACACGCGGGTTCATCTCGATAATGACCATCTCGCCGTCCTGAGGGCAGAAGGGCGGGGGCCATGTGCCGTAATGCGGCATTGCAGTTGTTGTTGTTGTATTGCAACAACAGCAATAAGTTGCACCTCGTCGTCGCACTGGGCGTAATGGGAGGTTATTGAGCTGCTACGAAGACTGACTCGCAAACGACGCTGGTGCATGCCCCAACAACTCTCTTTTCGATAATTCCCCCCTCCTTAGCACAATTGTGCCGCCATGATCTGTGTCCGGTCGTTGAGGCCGCTCCCACAGCTGCTCCAATGAGCCAGTCAGGTGCCTGTCAGTCGCAAGGCGCCTCTTAGCCACGTTAACCACCCACACCCATGCACCCACCTCGGGGTTGACAGCCATCTGCACGTTGCTGCCACCGCATTCCACACCCATCTCGCGGATGATGGCGATGGCGGCGTCACGCAGTCGCTGTAGCTCCTTGTCCGTCAGAGTCTGAGAGGGAGCCACCGTGATGGAGTCACCTGGGCACAGCGGGGTAGCAAGGGCCCAGTAAAGAATCTCATAGGGAAAGGGGAGCGGAACTGCATGAAACGTATTCAGGAGCATGAGAGGCACCCGTGGGGAAACATGCAGTTGAACCAGGGTGCGGCTTTATTAGGGGTAAAACTCCCGCGCCTACTGCGATAGTGAAGGCCAAACTCCCTGCTACTGAATTGAGCGGCTAACCCCCTGTCCGATTGCCGCAGACATGTTAGGTCCTCTGCGATTCTAAACTGGCAAAGGCGAATCGTGGTAGGGGAGTAAGCAACTAGACAGGAGCAGGTGATGGCAAGGGACACCCATCAGGCACTGCCATAGGGTGTGCATGAATGGCGGACGGGACGCCGGCAAAGGACGTGAGCGACGTGTATGCCAGGACGGGGACCTCACCAGTGTGCACGCCCATGGGGTCGACGTTTTCAATAGAACACACAATCATGCAGTTGTCGTTCAGGTCGCGCATGACCTGTGGCATTCATGCCATGTCCGAAGCAGCGAGCGAGCGAGGGAAAAAAGGTGGGGGGCCCAGGGAGGAAAGGGGTTAGGAGTCATACGAAGAAAAAAGACATGGAAGACGCCAGACGGCGCACGCATGCGTTAAGAGGTGTGGCAAGATAGGACCACTGGCCAACATTTATGTGCCAGGGATGCACCCAGCATTCAGCTCCGGCAGCCCGTCTATTTCCCAACAGAGCAGCAGCAACAAGAAGCCATCACTGGAAATCCGCAGACACGCAAGCCCAGTGACCAACTTAGGGTGACGTTTTCATCAATACAGCCCCCGTGCTTGAGAGCGGTATGTACAGGCAGACAAGTGCATGCGGACATGCCCCCCTTGTGTTCGTCAACATCTACACAGAACAGCCTATGCAGTTTGCCGTTGCGCCGGCAACGCCTCTTTACATTACGTTAACGATCAGCGTGCACACACGCCAGCCGGCACCTGACATGTTTAATTAATCTGAGCCGCGAGAAGGAAGTACATGGGGGCTGCTGTAGCCCAAATGGCGTGCGCAACAGGGTAGAGATCTGAGGCCAACACCGTTTAGCTTCCTTCCCTCCCTTTTCCCCAGGTGTCCCCCCGACCATTCCGGCACCTCACCTCCAGCTCAAATTCCTTCCAGCCCAGCAGCGACTGCTCCACCAGCACCTGTGACGTCATGGACGCCGTCAGGCCGCCCGTCACAATCTCCTTGAGCTCGTCGATGTTGTAGGCGATACCACCACCCGTGCCGCCCAGCGTAAAGGCAGGGCGCACGATGATGGGGTACTTGCCAATATCCGCGGCGATGGTCAGTGCCTCCTCGAGCGTGGTGGCCGTAGCTGCTCGACAGCAGGTCAGGACAATCCGACAATGAATAATAGGAAGTAATAGACATCAGGCTCAACCTCAAACAGGACATTTCGTACATGCCATGTCGCAGAACGAGGAATAGGTAACGATTACGAGCTTCTTAAGGCCAGATGCTAGCACAGCTAGCCCAATGCTAGCCCAATTGAGGAGCCCCCATGACTGATGGGCATATGGTCAAGGCTTCTGGCGCACTGACCCTCAGATAGGGGGCTTCGGTCTGGTTACCGGCCAGGTCGAGGACGCACTTCGCACTCCACAATTGGCTTGACGGGCTCACACTCACCCGACTTGGCGCACTTGAGCCCAATCCGAGTCATAGACTGCTTGAACAACTCGCGGTCCTCAGCGCGATCAATGGACGGCAGCTTTGCGCCAATCAGCTCGATGCCGTACTTGGCAAGGATACCACGCTGGACGGTAACAGGCAGATGGGTTGTGCAAGAAGGCACGGAAAACAGCACATGAATGCAATTAGGGTGAGGTGGGAAGGATATATCCTGGGACTGGGACTAGGGTGAGGTGGATCTAGACATTGCGTGGAACGGGACGGCGAGGGGACCTCCCGTTTGGTCACAAAGCTGGCAAGTGGCCACGGCGGACGGCGAGGCAAAAGGCAGAGCAGCATTGCCCGGGTTGACCGCTTCTCTGCCTTGTATAGATTCGTTTTAGAGGGAAAGCAGCGTGCCCCGGGTTAAACGTGGTCAGAGCCAGCATGTGAGAGATTGCTGTCGCTGATGATATGACCACCCTTTGCCCACATGGCAGCTGTGCAGGTGCAGCTACGAAGGCACAGGCATAACCAGATCCCCCTCTCCTTAGCCCACTCGTGTACTCCACGCGCAGTAAGGCAGGGATATGGGTGGCGACATAATGCACACTGCACAATATTGGTATGTGACCGGGTAGTGCAGCGAGTGGCTCTTTAGAGATAGCTCGTGCCTGGCGGGGTCTGCGTGGCGGGGTCTGCATCGTGCCAGCTGCGTTTAGGACCCGAGTCAGTTTTCTCCTCTTTCGTCTTTTCAGACGTTCCTCGGTCGCTATCCGACCAACGTTGGTTGCTCAAGCAGCAAGACGGAAAAGCGAAATAGGCCAGCCCTTCTGCTCCAGCACCCGTGTATTCAGAGCCGTGCTCAAGATGAAGATGAATTTGCATGTGCATGCACTCCCGATGGCCGCTTGGGTCAAGAGCGTGCCGTGGGTTCACCGATGGCAGAACTTGCTGACGTGCAGGTGTCGATGCAGACGCTCGGCATAGCTGCCTCGGGGGACTGCCCGGTAGTGGAGCCCCAAGGTCCTGTACATAGCCCCAACCAAAGGCGAAGAGGCACTGCCCTGGGGCTGCGCCTGGGGCCGGTGCGCGTGTGCGTGAAGCGCGCACGGTAACCCTTTGGCTTGGTTGTTGTGGCTGCTGTTGTGGTTGTGGTTGTGTTTGTGCTTATGTTTGTGCTTCGGGGATGGGATCTGGGCAAGGCTTTTCCATGGGCGAGAGGTAGATGGACTTGGCAAGCCTTGACTTGCATGGCGCCTCGGGATGGAAGTATCCCGCAATACAAACTAGCTGTCCCCGAAGTTGAGCAGCATCGCAGCAGCGGCTGGGATGCATACGGGCGCAAGGGTTCTAGCTCACCTCTGCCAAGGTCTTCGCAAGGTTCAGACCCGTCTGGCCGCCCATAGTCGGCAGGATGGCGTCCGGCCGCTCCTGCATATTCAAGGCAGGAAACCCAAATACCGTTTGCAGGCCATGCGGGGGATGCAGTACGGCCAAGGAAGGCAAGGGTCAGCAGAGCTACTTGCGGCAGCGCACCTTGGCAAGAATCTGCTCCGCCAGCTCCGGGGTCATAGGTCCGACGTAGGTGCGGTCGGCCATGCCAGGATCCGTCATAATTGTAGCCTGCGAGCGCACCCATATAGGGAGGTTGTCAAGATTTGCCGAAACCATCAAGCCTTCGTCAGTCGCGCGATCGATATCTAATGATTGAATTATCAACAACATGACTTACTGGGTTGGAATTGAGGAGAATCACGCGGTAGCCCTCCTTCCTGCGCAAGCAAGAGGCGAAACCCTTGTGATCAACGAGACCAAGCAGCTCAGTCGAGGCCGTCACTTACTTAAGAGACTTGCATGCTTGTGTACCGGAGTAATCGAACTCACAGGCCTGTATGAGTGAAGCTACGGTCAAATGATGGAGTGGGGCAACGTGTGCGGCTGTCATCACGATACCTGGCCGATGACGATAGGACCCGCGCCAATAATCATAATTGTATTGATATCACGGCGCTTCTTGATTTCCGACATCGCGGCCTGCCATGGCAGGGGAGTCGCCGTGGTAGAGCTTGCGCTCACACGCAAAGTCTTCACCCCACGTGACGACCGCTGGGCCGCCCTCGATGAGGGCTTCAAACCCAGCTCGGAGTGGGAGCCGACAACGATAGGTCGCGAGAACACAACATTCCGCTGAGATGATGGCGGGGCAGCACGACCAACTCCGCAAACAGCGCCGCCCGATAGGAGTTGGGCCGACATTTTAGTGATGCTACACAACTTTCGCGATAGTAATTGAGTAGCAACCTCTTATGATTGTATAATCTTGTGCGACCCTATGCCCTGCAGCAGCTGTATGGGAGGAAGTACCGGTTCTCCAACAAAAATAGCGGAAAATTGCCGTGCAAGTCACGTCGTGACGAACAACACTTTTCGTTGCAAGCCCTATCCAGAATCGACTCTACCCACCTGCACAGGCACACGCGATTGCGTTGCCTTCCTATTTCTCATAAAAGCTAACTGGCTGGCAGGGGCTTCCCTTGGCCACACCCTGGGGCTTTGCGTAGTTGTACGTATTCGATGTCATATTTCTAGGTCACACACTTAATTTTGGTGGAACTGCTTGGGTTGCATATCACAAGGTAGCCAACATGAAGTTTAAGCTTTCTTCTCTCAGTGCATACGTAAAGCCAGAAGCACATTTAGTTCAGCAGACGGTACATGGTGCACTTGGTGAGGATTTCAACGAATGGGGTGCAGCTCGGAGTCGTTGATCGGACCTGCCTCGACCAAGCCTTGGAATTTCCGTTTCTGCAGTGACCTTATGTGGTATTTTATTAGCTGCCATGTTGTTTGTCCATGAGCTGGGGTCCTTTTATAGACAGCATCGGGTTACTCAGGTGAGGGAGCTTGTCGCTCACAGCGCTTCAGCCCTATCAAGCCTGGAAACACATGCGCTCCCCCCTCTGTGTTTCATCACCCAACTGCAGATGTCCGTGGACCTGGCTAGGCGGAACGCCTTGACAATAAACATCGACCTAACGTTTCCTGCGATCCCTTGCGCGGGTACGTATATGTACCCCATTTGGGCCAGGGGGGAAGCCGAGTATCGCGCTGATTCAGCCTTTGAGGAGGGAGCTTAGCACTGTTATCGGTCGGGAAGCTGAGGTACTCCGCACGATACTGCTGGGGGCGGGCTGCTGTCCTCCAGCAGCCCAATTCCTTGCAATCGTCAGCGGGTCCGGTCATTGCCTGGCGCCCCTTTGCATAGCTGCAGCATCTTCAGTAGTACTGGCACTTGTGCTCGGCAGGAAGGTCGGCACTGGCGTCAGCACACCGCGGTCACCCGCGAGACCGCCATTTCCTGGTGCCCAGGCTGGATAAGATCTCGGCTTTCGGGCGGCAGAAGCAATAAACCAGTAGTGCGGGTAATCACAGCCGCGGAAGCAGAGGGATGGTAGGAGAAAGGGCTGCAGCACATGGCCAGTCCCGGCAGCAGCAGCAATAGCAGTCACAGCAGCAGCGCTGAGGGCACAGCAGCAGGTGGCCGCCAAAAGCTCCCTGGCCGCCCTCTCATTATCTCTCCGTCACATGTTGCGGGCTTTGTATCATGTAGCCGCCATGGTTTCCTAGGATCATGGTAATGTTGCGCGTGCCTGTCAGCGAAAGCCAGCGTTCCGCTCCCCCAACAGCCACATCTGCACCTGCGCTCACACCCACACGGCCGCCCCGACCCACACATTGCTTCACTCTCCCAGTCCTGTCGATTGACGTGTTGGACATCGCGGGCACTGCGGAGAACGACGCGTCCTATGCGCACCACATGCACATCCACAAGCTGCGGTTGGACGGGGCGGGCAAGCCGATTGGCAAGGCAGAGTACCACACGCCGCAGAGCCAACAGATCATGGACACGGGCGCCGAGCAGCTGGTGTCGGTCAACATCCAGGAAGCAATGCAGGTGGGCCACTAGGGAGCCAGGATAAGGCGAACAAATCGTGCAGGTTGAGGCGGTGCCTGGGATCTGGGTTGCTTGGGAACTAACCTAGGATTTTGCGGTTGAGCAAGGAGGGAGGTAAGGAGGGCAGCCGGGTTGGGCGAGGCGGCTGGATGGGTGCATGGGGGAGTGTGGGGCTCTCGGGAAGCAGGAGGGGTGCGGTATTGGGTGGGGAGGGACGGAAGGAGACTTGGGGTGACGGTGAAGGAGAGATGTTTGGTTGGTGCGGGTGAGGTGTGGCTATGGCGTTGCTGGGGAGGCATTGGGGGAAAGGCATTTACTGGGGAGCCCATGATGTAGAGCTGATGGCATAGGCGAAGAGGGTGAGAGAGGAGGGGCGAGGGCAGGGAGGGGGAGAGCGAAAGCTACCGAAGGGGGGAAGGATTCATGTAGAACCCTTGGCACAGCTGTAAGGCACTTCGAAACCCCCCCGATCCGCTCCTACAACCTCCGAGCTGCTGGCCGAAAGCGTTGGAAGCGTTACCGCATGCGACTCCACGCTCGAGGGGCGCTTCGATGAGTGGGAACGGACGCGCACTGCAGCCCCTGCAGAAGGCGCACGCCGGACAGCAGACAGGGCTGCAGGGGCGGGTCGTACTGGTCGTAAAGCGGTGCTGTCCGTGAAGCAAAAGAACCTCAAAAACAGCGCAAGACGGAGCAGCAGCCGCAGCAGTCAAGACGGCAGCAGCAGCCAGGATGGCAACCAAAACCTAACCGGGCCGCCTCCGCCCACCTCGTATGTGGGTCTTATCAGAGCCCAGCGCGGAGGCGTTGACTCCGCACACGGCCCGGTTCCTGCTCGGATACAGGGGAAAGGAAGGCGTATCCTTTCCCGGGTTGTTCCCGGTCGTGTGGATTTTGTCCAATTTTCAACTACGTCGCGAATCCTGTGCTTGCTATTCTGACTTAACAACACCATAAGGCATCCTTAAGGCATCCTCGCCCACGCCACGCATATTTTCCCCGTGGTCCTCCCCTCCCCTCCCCTCCCCTCCGCAATGTGCAGCACTTGGTGGACATGGAGGAGGAGGCGGAACACCACGAGGGTTGCCATGTGTACGGCACCATGGACGTGAAACGAGTGGCGGGGCGGCTGCACTTCTCCGTCCACCAGAACATGGTGTTTCAGATGCTGCCCCAGCTGCTGGGCGCGCATCGCATACCCAAGGTACCGCGGGCCGGCGGCATTGTAACGGTGACGCTGTTATGGCTACGGAGCCGACCGTAAAACATCGTGGGCGATGATGTTGGACCTGGCGGTGGTTATGGTGATGTGATGGTGGTGGTGGTGATGAACAAGGCATTTGATAGGAGAGCCGGTTTCTGCGGGTCGCCTCCAGCTCCTTGTCAATGAGGTCGGTGCTCCTTTCCTCTTTCTTGAGCTCTCTTCCTGCCTTCTTTCGGCGCCCGGGGCGGTCTCTCTCGAGGTTGGCTTGGACGCTCAGGAGCATCAGTTGGTGGCTGTGGACGTGTTGGCAGTTGGCTCCCTTTTGACTATTTTCTTGACGTCAGATAGTTCCCCCTATCTGCCGTATGTTACAAGTTACAAGTTCCACACACAAGTGCGGGTGTGTCCGTAAAAGCCGGGGTTCCCCCCCCTTCCCCTCCCTCCCGTACCTCCCATCTACCTGACTCCCGCCCCAGGTCGCCAACATCAGCCACACCATTAAGCACCTGGGTTTCGGGCCCCATTACCCCGGCCAGCTGAACCCGCTGGATGGTTACGTCCGGATGGTTAAGGGGCCCCCGCAAAGCTTCAAGTACTTCCTCAAAGTGGTCCCAACGGAGTACTACAACCGCTTGGGCCGCGTCACCGAGACCCACCAGTACTCGGTCACCGAGTACACGCAGCCCCTGGAGCCGGGCTACGTACCCACCCTGGATGTGCACTACGACCTGTCGCCCATCGTGATGACCATCAACGAGCGACCGCCCTCGCTGCTGCACTTCGTGGTGCGGCTGTGTGCCGTAGTGGGAGGAGCATTTGCAATCACACGTGAGTGTGTGTTCGTGTGCATATGTATGTATGTTTGTTTGTAAGTATGTATGTATGTGTATGTATGTGTGCCCCGCGGAATTAACGGCGGGAAAACGGTGTGGGGAGAAAAGGGGAGAGCTTGTCGTTATCCATCGGCCGTTTAGTGAATCTCTAATAATACTAAGGCCGTATGATCACTGCTTTGAGTGTTTTTGAGTCTTGTGACTTATGATCACTGCTTTGAGTGTTTACGAGTCTTGCGACTATGCAAGGAAATCACTGTTATGCCCCGTTTGGCTGCTGCGGTACGCCATCCCCTGTGTGCTGACTGCTCTGCTCGCTCACTACCACATGGTCAATGGCCCGTGCCGGGTGTTCCTAAGGCCTCACTTCCGCCCGCTCTCCGGCTTTGGACGTGTCGACAGTTCATTCTTTGTTTCTTGCATCATCAAACGATCGCTCGGGCCCCTCCCCCCCTCCACTCCGTAGGGATGACGGACCGCTGGGTGGACTGGTTCGTGCGGCTGGTCACCAAATTGAAGTGAACGGACGAGGAGGTGGAGGGAGGACGGCAAAGGGAGACGTGAGGGAGTGGGTGCGGAGCGGGGATGCGTGTGAGAGGCGGTCCCTCAGCATCGTCCTGAGTTCGCGCCGGTTCCGTTTCGTCTTCGTCCAAAGAGCCAATGAGGGGTCCCTGCTGAAAGTGGGTTTGCTTTGGGAGGAGCATTGCGAAGCTGCTGCATGGGGCTCTCAGCGGCGATGGAGATGCGGAAGCGAGTGGGGGTTGTGCACGTGTGCATCGGCTAAGTGCTGCCGGGCCGCTGCCACCACAATGGAACCAAAGGAACAACTGCGTCGTATGATCTGGGACACAGTCCGGTTCTCTTCAGGAACGTTTTATGTCGTTCGTGCGAGAGGCAGACGGGCCACGGTCCGCGGCATCCCCGCGGCGTTAATGCCAGTCATTGAATGCCCGTCCAATGACGGTGTTCCTGACCTGTCAGTGAGTCTGTCTGTTAGGGATAAGGGCACATACGCGCTTTATAAGGGTCCTGGCCCAATATGCACTGCGCCCCAGCACATGCGAGTGAGCGCGGGGCAGCGTCACACAGGACCCGGTGGTGGACGTAGACCTTGGGCTTCCGAGGCGGTTGCCATGCTGCTAGTCATCCTTACTAGGTAGTAGCTCGGGCGCACAAGTCTGGTACGGGACCCAACATCGACTTGATTTCGGGCAACTTCCAAGCAACGCTGTCTGTCTGGTTGCTGTGGGAGGGGTTCTACATCTTTCGGGGGTCGAGCCCAAATGGATTTGAGGAAAAGGCACCCGGGAGGAGGCGTGTATTGGTCGAAGGGGGAGGGCAGGAAGCTAAGGCAGGACAGTGGAGGAAGTAGACCGGTCACACGAAAAGAAATTATATACCTCGTCGATGTTCCTTTTTACCGCACGCGGCATCAAAAGACTCGCAAGGTTAATAACACAACATTGTTCACCGTTTGGAGATACCAAGCCTCGGCGCTCCGGGGCTCCGGGGCCACCGCCTTGCCGTATAACGTACGACATATGATGCGCGTCCACTCGCCTCATAGGCCCACCTCTTGTCCCACGTGAGTGGCGCACCTGCGCCTCCCGCCCCCTCCCCCCTCCAACCAAGCCAATACACACCCCATCGCTTTCCCCTTCACTGCATCCGGCCGTCCTCGGCGGCTGCTTCTTGTGCGGCCTTTGTCTCGTCTACAGTCAGCCCTCCTGCTTGCGGCTCCATAACGGTGCCGGCGGCCAGAGAGGCCGCAATGCGCTCCACAGCCTCAGCCAGCCGTTCGTAATCATCCAAAATGTTGTAAATGTGTACGGAAATTCGTACATAGAGGCGGCCCTGGATACACTTGACGGGACACTCCACGGAGTGCACGTGGTGCAACAGGTCCTGAACAGGCAACACAGCAGCAAAGGAACGGCTCAACCACGGTGCTGGAGATGATGGTGATAGGACAAAAGCGGTCAGGGGCCTTTCTTTCTTGGCAAGCGACATGACCATAGTGATGGGCGCTGAAAGGAAAATATCTAGTGGTTGTGCAGCAGCCCGGGTGTCCTGAACAGGCAATGCTGCTGACCGCAAGGGACACGGCCTGCATTGTACCACACATTTCACCCCTGGTACATGGGGAGCAAGGCGATGCTCATCATCAGGCAATGCTCAATTAACTCCAGGCCTGCTCAGGCAACAGCAGCGGTCCGACGAAGTTGACAGGGAGGGAGAGGACGTCCTTTTCAAAGTCCCCCCAGTCACACATTCCGATAACCCTTCATGAATGCCGAAACGTGACGTGTCGCGCCATGTCGTACCTGGACGTACTTGGCGTCCGTCGAGGTGGCGGGATCCGACTCCGCCAGGCCCTGGGCCGCCCATCGGGGTCGGGCCGGGGTTGCCGCAGTGGTTCGGAAATGGCGTGCGTTAGAGGGCAGATGTCGCAGTCCAGTCCAAGGGTGGAGTGGGGGTATATGTGGGTGTGGGGGAGGGCACTATAGCTAGGCAGAAGTCAAAGAAACAAGGTTAACTAACCAGGGAAATGGCGTGATAGGGGCTCTACTCCTCACTGAAAGGAGGAGCCCGCTCAGGAGTCAGATTGTCTGGGCCGTCGGTGGCCGTACAGACTCCGGAACCCTCTTTCTCTCTCTCACTCGTTAACTCTATAACCCTGAAACCCTAAACACCCCGGGTAGTATCCCCGTGCCCTCACCTCGGGCAGCTCTACCAGCGCCATGCACCCGCACATCTCCAGGGAGGGCGCCAGCAGCCGGCCCCCCCACCGACTGGTCAGCAGAGCTACCGCCTCCCGCAGCAGCCCCCGGCAGTAGCGCCGGACTCGTGCGGGGTCCAGCGCCCGCCACAGCGCTAGAGCGGAGGATGTAGCCAGGTAGGGGGTGTAGTCACGGCAGCCTGCCGGGGGGGGAGAGGCGGGGAAAGGAAGGGAGGCGGGAAAGGGAAGGAAGACCCACGGGGGGCTTGGTTTGGGCTTCTAAAAAGCAAACTCCGGAAAGGCCACTCCTCCCATTGCCGCAAAGCTGGAGAGGGAGGATGACGAGAAGTACGGCAGTGAGCGGGATGTGAAGGGACGTCTGCACTTGATGGGACGGGCACGTGAAGCTGTGCAAGTCAGGTCCGTAGATGGTGCCCATCCCAGGGTGCGGAGGGGGGAGGGAGCGGAGGGAGACCATGTGGTGTTTTCAATCCCAGTAGGGCGTCCCCATGCAGGCAAGCAATGCGCTAGGAGTAGATCAGGGGTGCCGGAGGTCGGTTTGGCAGGTTGCGGAGGTTGCGGAGGTAGGGGAAAGCGCGCCCTTGAGGGGGGCGCAGAGTCGGAAATAAAGTTGCAAAGGTGGATCCACCTGGATAGTACGGTAGTACGGTGCAACACGCCGGAGATGAAACGAGTTGGGGCCCCAGCCGTTGCTTCCCTCTTAAAATGTGTTTTCTCCTCTCTCTCCTCTCTCTCCCCCTCTCCCCCCAAACCTCCCCGCAGCGGCACCCACACCGGAGCTCACCGTCCCAAATGAAGTCCGATGTGAAGCCGCTTCCTGATCCGTGGCTAACCACCAGCGGCCGTACACAGCCCTGTCGAGGGGGTGCCACCCACAGCACCGCGCTGCCCCGGGGCGCACACAACCACTTGTGGCAGTTGGTCACGAAGTAGTCAGGAGCTGTCGAGGAGGAGGAGGGGAAGGAGGAGGCGGAGGAGGAGGGCTCATTGGCCTCGTCCCCGTTGCCGTCCTTAACTGCTGCTGCTGCTGCTGCTGTTGGTGTTGGTGTTGGTGTTGCCGCCACCAGACTTCCTCCCAGGCTGGCTCCGGCCCCTGCAGCTGCTGCTGGCACCCCGGCTGCCGCGGTGGCGCCCGCGGTCCCTCCTCCCCCTTCCCCTTCCCCTCTCCCTCCTTCTACTCCTACTCCTCCGCCACACACCCCGTTTCGTAGGTCGATGTGCAGCTGCCCCACGGCATGAGCCCCGTCAATGAGCACCTGCACCCCCCTGCGAGGAGGAGAAGAAAGAAAAAGTATAAAGGCGAATTTACACAGCTATGCATTTCATACACCCACACATATGCCAACAATTGGCAAACTCAACGACTGTTGAACTTGTCAAACTTGCGGCGCCACTGAGTGAGTTTGCGAGAGGTGACATGCCAAGCCTCCTATAGCCCGGTGGATCGTTTTCCCGGGCGTACGACAGAGACACGGGGTCCCTCTTCCCCACCTACACTGAACCTCCCGCTCTTATACAGCCCTTGCTTCTGTCGTACCAATCTCCTTAACCAACTGCAAGAGCTTATATGAAATATATGCTTAACGCAAGAGCTTATATAGAATATAGCACAATCGCACCTGCTCTTGCATAGCTGTATGAGCTGTCGTACAGGCAGTACCAATGCCGTATTCGAGGTGACGCTGTCGAACACCGCCAGCCGTGTGTCGGAAGGCATTGAGGAGGCGACTAAGTCCACGATGTCCTGCGGGGTGCTGTGGGTGGGTTGTGACGGGGTGGGGGGGTCTGTAGGGTGTATGTGTGGGGGGGGAAGGAAAGCGAATGGAGGGCTGTCGTACCGTGCTGCTCTCGTGGCGGTTGCGGAGTGATTGGGTTGCATCCATGGCAGTTGACAGTTTGTAGCTACCGACCGCCAACAGGAAAAGTATGTGCCGCGGCCCGCGGCCTGCCAACACGGCGATAGGTGCGCGGTGTTTGTGAAGAGATCTGACCAGATCGGGCAAAGAAACGCTGTTTTGCGACCCAACACCCCACACACACCGTTTGAAAAAGTCGCGACCGACACCACCAATCACGTGAGACGCACACCATCAACGAGGCAAAGCCGTACGCAGCCCAACAGAACAGTCTTCTGCCTCGCCTCCACTAATCACCGGGGGGAAAACACCGGGGGGGGGGGACGAGCCGCTGTGTTTGTTGCCCAGCCCACCCGACCCGAAAGGCAATTCCCGCAACGTTGCTGTACAAAAACTATAAAGGATACGGCTCCGTACTAGGCACGTAAAAGCAGCACATCTCAATATCGCAAACCATGATGACAGTTGGCCGTTGTGCAACAGTCACACCTGATGGGAAACTTCACTTCGCCGTATACTACGTTAATGCCACCGGGCGCCTCGCCTTCGCCGACAGCAGCTGCCGTACCAGCGCCTTTCCCCGCCGCTGAGGCCGACGCAGCTTGCGCCATCTTCTTAACACTGCCGTACCTGTTGGTGTACCGCCGTACAATCCGTTCAGGAAAGTCAACGGAAAGAATTTTGAAAACAGAGCTTTTCCCCCTCTCGCGGTTTCGAGGACATCAGCATGCGGGCTGCCCGGGTGCCGACCTGCATCCTAACGAACCCGCGAATGGCGTCCCCTCCCTCCCCCCCTCCC